AAAAAAAAAAAAAAGGATTAGATGCAAGGTTCCTAGGTTCACTCCTTAGTACCAAAACCTAAAGAAATCGGGCCGGGGAGATGGCTCAGTGGAATAAGCGCTTCCCTGGCAAGCGCAAGGGCCTAAGTTCAATCCCCGGTTCCGGAAAAAAAAAACAAAAAAATCCTAAAGAAATCGAGTTTGTGGGGACACCTCTGAAGGATTTCTTGGACTGTAGCTGGAAGGGACAGAGCAGGTACAGAACAACACAATGCCTTTGCACATGGGCTAGGGTATCTGAGCCCTGGAGACCCTCAGCAGTGAGGCACAGGAGGGGTAGCCATAGTAACCTTGCCTGGGTTCCCTTTCTGCTCTGCCCAGTGCCCAGGTCTTTGCACCTCCAGAAGGGGCTAGAATTTGGTGTGGGTATAACTGTGTGGGAGTTGGGCCCGGTTCTTGGCCTTTCTCTTTCAGAGGAAAGATGAAGTCCAGGTTGATTTAGCTGAGGCTGCTGTCTGGGGCTGTGGCCTGGCTCACCCATTCCTACTGAGTCTGTGCCAGAGGACTGGATGCACACGTAGTCCCTGGCCAGCTCAGCCCCTGCTGGTGCCTAGCAGTCCCCTGAAAGCCTGGGTCCTGGCTTCCTGGCTTTGGGCTTCCTGGGAATGTGCTGATAGAAAGTTCATCATGGGCATGTATTCAGCATTGCTCCCATCCTGGTGTGGCTGGCCGGAGGAAGGCTTGGGGGGCCTCATCACTATACTACATGCTTACCAGCCACAGCCCCCCATGTGCACATGGTCATCCTGGTGCCTATGGGGACGCAGCCCCCACTGATCCAACCCTCTGGGGCACAAAGTGGCTGCCCTTAGGTTTGCTGAGGTGTTGAGGGTCGCTTGCTCCATTCTCTTCCCCAAGTCTCCTGGTTGGGACATGGAGGCCTGGCTCTCAGAGGACTTGGATCTAGAGGTGCTCATCACAGGATCTTCAAGCAGGCGCTCAGCCAGGCCACAGGCACTGCTGCTCCAGAGTGTCTGTGGCAGCCAGGATGGTGTAGTGGTCACTAGGGTGTTGGGTGCCTGCAGTCACAGCTCCTTGGGCCCGATGGGCGCCAAGCAGTGGCGCTCCAGGAAGGTGTCTGCGTGGCCCCAGCAGCTTGCGCTGAGCAGGAACAGATGTAGGGCAGACAGTGGTGACAGCTGGCTGTCACCTGAAGCCCTGCTCCGGGCTCCTGGGGAAGGCTCCGCACCCCTAACCCGGGGAACAAGCCATCAATGCTCAGACTTTAGGTATGCCTCTGGGCCTTGGACGAGCCACACGTCCAGAAACAGAGAAAGGTCTCAGGGCTCGGGCTCCTCTCGGGGAACTGGGACCTGGAGACAACGGTTTGGCTTACGGGGGGTTCCAGAGCAAGAGGCTGAAACCACCCTTCTGAGAACTGCGCTGGTACAAACGCTTAAAGTGGGAAGTATGGGATCTGGGAGCACAGGTCCTCGGACACCCCTACCCCCACCCCGGCGCGCGCATGCGCCTCCCTTGGCTCCGAGGCGAGGGCACAACCCTGCAGTGGGCGCTGTATCACACCTGTTGCTCCGCCTCGGGGCCGCCGCCACGCCCAGCCTGCCATCGCGCGTAAGGGGGCGGTCTGGGGGCTCTGGCACGCGTCCGCGTGCTGGCGAATAGCGCCGGCGCCCGCCAGGCTCAAGTTACGTCGGGGCTGCGTGGGGCGGCAGCCGCCCCCAAGGTACTTCCCACTCGCAGTGGACAAGGCACTGTAGAGCGGCTGCGCTCGGACTCTGGCAGACGGAGCAGCGGCAGGCGGACGGGCTGGACGGGCTGGACGGGCTCTTCAGCCGACATGGACTTTGGAACTTTGGGATGACCGCGGGGTCTCCGCCTTCGGGCTTCTGTTGTGTGGTTGAGAGGAGGATTAGGCGGAGTCTCTTTCCCTGAGCTACAGGGAAAGGCCTTTGAGATGGCGGGCCACGGAGGGGAGCAGCGCCTCCGGCCGGTGACCCATCTAGGTGGCTGGCGTCTGTCCCTCCTACCGATTTGAAGTTTGGGGCATGGGGCTGGGGAGATGACTCAATGGAATAAGTGCTTCCTTGGCAAGCTCAAGGGCCTGAGTTCAATCCCCAGTTGGGGGTGGGGAGAGGGAAAGTTTGGGGCAAGGCTTCTGAGCCCAGCCCTGTGTCCTGTGTCACTGGGGCTCCTAGTACCTCCTAGGCTGACCCAGTCGGGTCTCCTCCTTCCCTCCACTTCCAATCATGTGGCAGTCTCCATCTGCAAGAACCCCAGAGCTCCTGGAGTCTTAAGCCCACCTAGGCCAGGGGCCCAGCGACCCGGGGATTGAGCCTTTGCAGCGGCCATGAGCTGGTCATTCCGTGGGAGTGAAAGAGGGCTGTCTTCCAGGCAGGCGGTGCCAGTGCCAGGCCAGTTATTGCAGTCAGTCCGCGAAGGTGGCACTGGGGATCAGAGGGTGACCACCAGGGTAACCGTTACAGCAGACACTCCATCTACTGCCACCTCAGACTTGTAGACCTCGGTGGCCTGTGTACACCATCCCGCACAGGGATGTGTGTGTGGCCTTTCAGATTTCTCAGGAGCCATGGCTGCTGAGCAGTGGACTCATTTCTGAGCCTCAGTTCAGTTTCTCTGTGGCTTGGAATGTGGGAGCTGCCTTGAGATAGGGAAACTGGCTTGGTCCCTGTGCACAGACTCTACCCACCAACATCCCAAGTCAAGTGGCCACTGAAGGTCCCGTTGAGGAGGAAGGACTTGGCCACCTATGAGGCATACCTCCTTCACACCATCCCTCCTCACACCACCACTGAGGAGAGGATCAGAGATTTCCTTAGTGAAGGTCTCTTCTGCCTCTTGCACCCAGAGATGGGTTTGGGGATTGACATTTTTCCATCTTTTTTTTTTGTGGAAACAAGGATTGAACTCAGGCCCTTGCACTTGCCAGGGAAGCGCTTATTCTACTGAGCCATCTCCTCAGCCGGCACCTCACTTCTGAACCAGGACTGCTGGCCCAGTTGTATGTGGGGATGGGGGTGGGGGTGGGGGTGGATGGAGCAGACCAGTGCACAATCCCAGACACGCCCCAGTTGACAGTGGGGCCCATAGAGGACCTCAGCAGACCTCATGATCTCATCAAAACAGCAAGGGAGATTACCACAGGAGGAGCTGAGGGTCTGGAAAGGAGGCGGAGCTCTGGCCTCTGTTAATGTGGGTCTTGGGGCCCGGCTTCCTCCCAAGGGCGATGGCTGTAATGGAGACAAGCTAGGAGCCTGGTTCCTTTTCTCCCGCTAGTCCAAGGGCAGCCTGAGCAGGACTTCCTGAGGAAGGGCCCGGTTCGTGACCTGGAATCCTGGCAAAGCCAGCGTTCTGTGTGAGGAACTAAAATCCTTGGACAGACATCTTTTCTTCCTGCCTTAACTTTGTGGTTAGGGTGGTACTGAGGATTGAATCCAGGGTCTTTGCGCTAAGCTACATTCCAGCCCTTTTTAATTTTGAGACAGGGGCTCATTAAGTCACTAAGTAGTTCATGCTTCAACTGTGACCCTCCTGCCTCAGCCTCCCAGCCTTGAACACTTAGCTCTTGAACATCCTTTTAAAGGCCATGTAGAGCCAGATTTAGGGCACCAGCTAGCATCAAAAGGGTGGGTGTCTGGCCTAGTTCCCAGGGCTTGGTCCAGGTGCTTTTTGGGCAGCCAGAAAGTATCCCCCTCAAAGCTCAGGAGGTGCAGGGGCAGCTGGCCAGAGGTGGGTGTTAGCCAAGGAGAAGCTAGTTTGCCACGTCCCGAAAAAACCACTAAAACAGGACTACGTACTAGGCCATAGTCCCCAGCGTGGTCAGAGGGTCTGATGTGGACACCATATGCATGGTGGCAGGGTCGCAAAAGACGTCTGCATTTCTCTCCCTTCCCAGCCTTCCTGCTACCTTAGTGAGCAGAACATGCCCAGGGCCCGTCCGTATGTGCTCCCCACTCCTGGCCTGAAGCCTTATTTCCCAGGCTTGATTTGCAAAGACTCAAGGTGGGTCTCTTCATAGCTTCTCCTTCCTGCCTCCCTCAACCAGGTCATCTTGTAACATGTGTTCTTGGGAAACAGCAGCTGCTGTCACAGTCAGCTCCACAGCACCCCATGTCATTGAGCCCTGTGGTGCTGGGTGAAGATGAAAGCAGGAAGCAGCAGCAGTCCATGTGCCTGGGGTGTGGACAAGCAGCAGTGGGGGTGGGGTGATGTAGTGGTGGTAATCGGTGCCAGGTGATTTGGCCTGCTGGGTGCCAGGAAAAGCTGGGAGTCAGACTGGCTTATATTGGTTGCCATAGCAACAAGAGTGCCCTTGGCCTTACTCAGACAAGATTTATTATCCTAGGTAGCCCTGGTAACTGGAGTTACTCCCCAGAGACAGGAAGTGCAGAACCTCAGCTCTGCTAGAAATGCCTTTCTCACCCTGAGGCAACACCCTTGTCAGGTGTGGGGCACCACATTCCACATCCCTTTGGAAGAATCCTCAGACCAGGGGACAGTGGCACTGGGACCCTATGCTTTGCAACGTGGGGCCTTGCTTCTCTGTGGAGACCTCAGGACAAAGCCAGAGATTTAGCCCTGCATTCTCCTGAGCATGGTCAGTGTCGGCCAGGGGCACATGTCAAGGGGAAGGACTTGGCCAGATGCAAGGTGAGTGGGCCAAGTCACTTACTCCGGCCTCATGCTGCAAGCCTGCATCCAGTCAGGCCTCATGGGAGGAGACACAGTCTCGGCAGCTGGACATTTCCTATCCTGCTGGAGACTTTTTCCTCCTTTGTCCTTGGCTTAGAAAAGAGGCTGGATGGAGGAGTGTCCATCCCAGGGAAGGCAGCTGCAGTCTTGGTCCCAGTCTGGGCCCACAGAAGTTTTGGGTTTTCGGGCGTGGGCTGAGGGTACGCCCTGGCATTTCTCTGAACTTTTTTTTTTGGTATTTTTTAGGGAAGGGTCTACAGGGTGTTCAGGGTCTCACTTGCAGTGATCTGCCTGTTTACAGCCTCCCAAGTGCTAGGATTCCGTGCGTGTGCCACCATACCTAGTCTCAATCACCATCTCAGCGTGCCCCGGGGGCAGGGCCACCATGGCAGGCCTGGGGATAGAACCCCGGGCTCTGTGCCTGCTTTCAGGCATTTAATCCACTGAGCTATTTGGCAGGCTCTCTAGCACTTCTCTGGCTGGTCCTCCAGCACTGGTCAGAGTCCACAGCAGACAGGACTGAAGGGGAGGCACATTGAGCCCCCACAGCCAGCAGCCAGCAAAGGACCACAGGGAGACACATGAATGTGATCGAACACGTGACCAGAGGCCTTTTAGCTCTTGGTCCTTTAAACCATAGGCAAGGAGTTAGGAGAATGGGAAGAGGGCCGAGGAAAAATAAGCCCCACATTTGGCTTCCTTCGATGCCTGGCTCTGAGCAGAAAGAATGGGAAACAGAAGTGGCGAGGACATTTGGGCATAGGGGCACAAGCCTGTGATCCCACGACTTGGGAGGCTGAGACAGGAGGATCACCAAGGTCAAGGCCAGGCGGGCTACAGCCCTGTCTCAAAACCAAAAAACTGAAAAAACAACAGTGATAACCAAGGATGGCAGACAAAAATTCTGGCAGAAGAGGACAGAGAACATAGACAACCTAGGGGAGCTAGGCAAGTGAGAAGCCAGACAAGGTCTTTCCAGCAAATCATACAATGCACATCAGCAGGTAGACCCAGTCTCTGTTTCTCTGCCATTCTGTGGAAGACCCAGAGAAATCACAATGAGCAGCCGAAGGCCCTGAGTTCCTGAGCCATGATGGGAGGGGAGGGATCGCTCCCAGTCTTGGGCTCGACAGTGCCAGTGCATACTTCCCCAGCTCTGGTCTTGACATACAAATAGCCCAGATACCAGGCTGTTAATAAAACAGCCTCTGGTGGCAGAGTCTGGGGGGAGGGTTTCCCCGGGTGCCATGCCTGGCTCCATGGCACCTGGCTCCTCTGCCCATCCCAGGTGAGAATCGGCCCCCTCTCTGTATCTTCTGAATCCCAACTCCTGCAAGGGTCCCTGTCCCGCTCCTCTCCACTGCTAACACAGATGCCAGTTCTGATGGGACTCGGCTCTGTCTCGGTGAGCAGGTCCTCTTGTGGCAGCCCAGGCCGACTGGATGGGTGGCACCCGGGGAACGCTCAGCCCTGCTGACTCTCGGCCCCCAGACCAACCCAAAACACCACCACAAGAGCCACTTTTTCTTTCAAATGCAGTTCTTTTCCAACATTGCCTGCAAACGAGCTTTGGTGCAGAGATTTGGGAGCAGGGGAGGCACATGGGGAAAAAAAATCCCCAGCCAATTGCACAAAGCCTTTCCCTGGAAGAGCCCAGGTTGTGGGGTGGTCAGGGACATGTGGCTGCCTCCCCCGTCTCCTGGGCTCTGGCTTTGATGGTCCAGGCACAGATGGGGTTCATCCCACTCCCATTAAAGGGCAAGGGAGACAGGCTGGGGGTGGCATGTATATATCTATGTATGTGCATATATATATATATATATATATATATATATATTTCTATAATAGGCTATATTAGAAAATTCTATGTATAAATATAAAACACTGGTATCCAAACATGACACTGACAGGTAACTAAAGTGCTTGACAGGAGTCAGGCATGTCTATGAATGCAGATAAAACTATGCAATCCTGAGTGCCAGGATGGGGGCTGCGGGGAAGCAGAACAAGGAGGTGGAGAAAAGCAGGTGGCGCCCGGGGTGGAACATAGGTGGTCTCAGCCCCAGGGCTCCGGCTAAGGTCCCAGTCAGCACTCCTCCTCTTTCCCCACTGTGCCTCTGTTCAGGAGGAGCAGTGTTGGAAAAATGGAAGGGGAGGAAGGGTCCTTCTCCTGGGGACTGCTGGCCATTGACAGCCATACCTTCCTCTGCCCCTGGATGGGCCAGAGGTGACGGGCCCAAAGGCAGGAGAGAAGGTCGTGTGCATAACTGGACAGTTGAAAAACACACTGGTCCTCTGGGCCAGGCCTACCTTCCTGGGCCTTCTGGTAAGGGTGGCTTGAGGAGGAAGGACGCCCCTGGGCCACTGCCCCAAGCTGTGATTCATCCGGAAGCCCCCAGCAAAGAAAGCATTAGCACCTCCACCATCCTCGGCAGCCTGCCAACCAGGCTCATTCTAGTCTCAGACCCACAGACGTGCCCGAGGTAAGGAAGAGGGTACTAGAACTTTAGGGAGTAGAGGGCCCCCTGAGGAGAAGGGGAAGAGGTCCCCCCGGACACAGTGCTACAAGAACGGGTTGGTAGTTGGAGGTTTGGAGGCAAATGGGCTTGGTGAGGATCCAGTCTGGAAAGAAAAGAACATGAAGTTATCTGATGAGGGAAGAACAGCTGGAAAACAGGAAAATGAATTTTAGGGGTTCTTCGGTTAGGCTTCCCTTCATCATTGGAACCACCACGTGGATGGAGAGGAGAGTGTACAGGGGCAGTGTGGACAATGGCAAGGCCACGACTGAGACACCATCCCTGGCTTGGCTCGAGTCCCACGCCATGTACCCTCTCCTGGAAGGATTCTGTCCCCAGCCCCACACAGGACACTCACCATGAAGGGGTTGGTAGAGATCCCAGCCGGCTGGCTGAGTGGCCTCTGCACCAGCCTGGTGGGTCCCAAGTCCCCAAAGGAAGAGCCTGAGAAGCAAAACAAGTGAGCAGCTGATGTGGCCATGCTGCCACCATGGCAAGGCTCCACTGCACCGCCTGGACACAGGTCCTTGCTACATCCTAAAGCGACAGCCAGAGGGACTCCTCCGAAATTCTGGCACAGGCAGGCCCGCTGCTCCCCCTACTGGTCAGAGACGGAACTAGCTCAGAGGCGAGCTAGGGCACAGCGCCTGCGGTGGCCCTCCCCAACCGCACGTCCTTCATCCTCACAATCAACCAACCGCAGGTTGAAAGTCGCTCTTTCCCTGGGCCAGGACTGAACATGCGCGGACCTTTACTCCTCATCATCTGATCTTTGACAATACAGTGTAACAGCAATTTAGCATTTATATTGCATTAAACATTGTAAGTCACCCAGGGATGCTTTAAGGAAAGGAAGATGTGCTTAGGTCCTGTGCAAATACCATGCATGCCATTTTTTATGAGGGATTTGAGCCTCCTCGGCCGGGAGCCAGTTTCCTATGACACTGGTCTGTCCACGTGGAGGGGAGCAGAGAGAAACCCTTACCGTTCTGCTGCGGCGTTAGCGAGGTCTGTGGAGGGAACAGCGGTGAGGGGAAGGTACTGGCAAAGGCCCCAGAGGGTGGCACTGGCTGGGCGAAGCCAGGCGCAGCACTGCTCATCCCAAAGCCAGGCCCTGTGGGGTGACACGAGGCTGAGGCAAACTTCTGTGGGGAATAAGATTGGTTTTCCCTACATCCCTTCCTCAGAAAAGGCCCCCAGGGGAAGGACCCTGAGTGAGTAGGGGACTGTTCAACTCCTGAACCTACCAAGCTTGCCAATCTGCCTGTAGCACCAAGGGCAGAGGCCTTTATAAACGCGGACACCACACAGAACCTGGGTAGCTCTCCCTGTCCCTAGTAAACTGCATACATGAAGGCGTTTTACCACTCCTCGGCTCTTGTCTCTACAATGGGCACAGGATGCGTTTCACAAAAAAACAGCTCCAGGAGCCCATCAATGCCTCTCCTTGGCCTCAGGACTTTAAGGACACAGAAGAGACTGCGGAGGGAGGCAAGGGCCAGCCTGTGATTTCACGATGGTTTCCTGGAAACTGAGGGGTAGATAGGGGCTAGGGACAGGGACTGCTTGCCATTATCAGTCACAAGAAAACAATATTCAGAACTGGGCTTCTGCTTGGTTTTCATGGTGCAGGAGTGGAACTCAGGCCCTGCCTATGCTAGGTAGGTGCTTCACCAAACACTACATCCCTGCTGCTAGTTCAGATCTCAAACGTCCTCTGAGTTCTCCTGTTTAGGGGAAGGTGACTGGGTCACAAGGCGCTGTGTCATCAGTGCTCGCATTGCATCCACACAGGGTCAGGGCTGAAGGTGCTGCGAGGAGGCTGGGCCTCGCTGCAAGAGGCCGGCCACTCTGGAAGGTCCCTTGTTCTCTCTGGCTCTTCCTGCTTTCTGCTTCCTGGCTGCCAGGGCTCTCCACAATGCCATTTCCACGCTGTGGCCAGCCAGACATGGAGTGGACCCTCTGAAGCTGCGAGTCCTTTAAGTTCGGGGTGTCAGGAATCTCATTAAATGGCCCAAGTGGGGCTCAGACTTATCTTTCTGCCTCAGCTTCACTAGCAGCTGGGGTTACAAAAGATGTGCTCTTAGTTTTTTCTTAATCCTAAAATTCTGATTGTGACACGTGGGTGCTTTTGCCTTTGGCTTCCTATGGTGGCCTGGTTGAGAACGAGTCTGGCCTAAGCTGGTGAACAGCGGCTAGGGCTGCGGTGGGGCTTCTGGCTGCTCCCAGCAGTGAGCACTGAGGTACATTTGTGTGGGGAAAGCTTAGGGTAACGGATTCCCTGAAGTCTAAAAAGCGCAGGGGGAATGGACACAGTGGTGCATGCCTGTAATCCCAGCACTCGAGAGGCTGAGGTGGGAGGATCATACAAGTTTGAGGCCAGCCTGAGCTCCATGAAAGATTTTGTTTAAAAAGGAGGAGGAGACGGGACAGTGTAGGCGACTTACCTGGGGCGAGGCCATTGGGCTGGAAGGGGTTGGTGGAAGGCAGCTGGGGCTGGGCTGCAGGGACGGCGAAAGGATTGGTGAAGCCTGCTTGGGGTAGAACAAGAGAGCGAGTGGGTTGCCTTTGCTACCACTTGCTTAATCCTGTGATGACTGCCTCCTGCTAAAGCCCAACCTGCCTCTCCCACTCCCTTCCCTGTGCAGTCTCCACTCTCTTCCTGCCATGGACCTGTTGCTGTTCCTCCCAAGGCAGGCAGGGCTCACCTCCAAAGGTCAGTCCTGTGCTGCCACTACCAGGCACAGCAGACTGGAGCGCAGGGACCTGGCCGGCCATCCCGAAGATGCTGTAGGTCACGGAGAGAAGTTGGGGTGCTCATCCTCCAGGCCAGGGGACATGTGGCCATTGTGCTTTCAGGGAAGGAGGGGGATAGGGAGGAAGGGGAACAGGAGGAGCCAAGGTGGGACAGTGGGGTCAGCCCTGAGGGACGCCTACACCCACCTGCCAGGGACCCCTCCAGGGGACACCCCAGGTCCCAAGAGGCTGCCCACATCTGTGAGGCTGCTGGGCTGAGAGGCAGCTGCAAGTGGAGCGGCACCAAATGGAGTCCCCTGGCTGCTTCCTGGACCACCGAGAGAGATAAAACAGGAAGGGCTGAGTGAGACAGGAAGCTACGGGCAGGAAGCAGAGGTGGGCTGCGGTGGGAGGATGGGGTTTCGGCAGGGAGGCACCCACGGTTGCTCTGAGGCAGCTTGTGCTCCCTTCAGTATGGGAGAGGTTGTCCCCCTCTGAGTTCTGATCAAGGTGACAGTTCAGGTGTCCCCAAGCTTCCCAGTGCTCCAAGCTGCCGCTCAGAAATACAGTTCCTCCTGAGTCAGCCCCCCCATGTAGCTTGGCTTACACTTCCCAGATGGAAAGTTCGGTCCCTTCCTCCAGCCAGCGCCTGTTTATATCGATGTGTCACATGAAGGGGAAAACAGGAGCTGGGAAGGACAGCACACCTGAGACACACAGGGATGGGGCAGAGAGGTTGGAAGACTCAGCCCTAGAAAAGCCAGGCCAACTCTGCCTAGGGGCCGCAGTGCCACAGCGCTCCATCTGGATTTATGCCAGGGATATCCGAATGGGAATCAGAAGTGGATTCTAGGGGCTGGTGAGATGGCTCAGTGGTCTAAAGCACCTACTTAGAACAAGCTTAGCAAAGCACAGGGACTGTGGTTCAATCCCCCAGCACCACATGCCAGCCAGCCCCGCCCCCTGGTGGGCTGAGCTGGCCACACACACACACACACACACACACACAAATAAAATTAAAAAAAAAAAAAAAGAAGTGGATTCTAGTAGTGGCTCTACTACCTGATGTGACTCTGGAAAACCATCCCTTTCTCCTAAGCACCACCCTTGTTGCTGCATGGGGGATGGAACCAGAACCTCATGCATGCTGGGGGCTCTTCTACCACTGGGCTGCACTCCCAGCCTGCTGAGCCCAGTTTTTCATCCTGCACTCTTATAAGGTGGCTGTCAGGACTTTCTGAGGTATTTGAAAGAATGCAGAAATCTTTTAGTATGATGCAAACAGGAGGCACTATTTTACCTATAAGAAACAACTTCCAGGGCCGGAGGTGGAAGAGAAGGTCTCAAAGGAACTGTATGGCGGCTGCTACAGAGAGGAGCCAGGGAGCAAGGTCCCTACCTGCACCCGCAGCTGCTAGGTTCCACCTTCAACAAGACGCCCTGGCCACTAACTCCTGCTCACATCACACTCACAAGAAGCCTGTCTTCAGAGGGGCCTGCCAGGGTGAATGTGAATCTGGATTTACTCTCATAGAACCTTGTTCTTGTCCTTCACAGTACCTGATGTATTTGTAGTGTTTTGTTTTTTTTTTAACACAACAGGGCCTCATTATATAGTCCAGGCTGGCCTTGAACTCACCAGGTGGCCCAGGTTGGCCTGGAACTCATGAGCTTCCTAAGTGCTAAGATTACTGTCCCACCCTATCGAGTTCACAGTCTGGGGTGTGTGTCTTTTTGAGACAGGCTCTCATTATGCACTTCAGGTTATCCTTGAACCCACCTTGTGGCCCAGGCTGGTCCTGAACTCACAATCCTGCCTCAGACTCCTGAGTGCTGGGATTATAGGCCTGTGCTACCACACCCCGCCTGCAGCCTGGTTTCTCGCTGGTAAAATTTTTTGAGGATCTGCAGCTGTGATTTCAGTCTCCACACTCTTCCCCTTCTAAAGGCCGTACGAGCCAAGGGTAGTGGTGCACACCTGGAATCCCAGGACTCAGGAGGCTGAGACAGGCCGACTGCTGCATAACAAAGCCAGCCTGAACAACATAGCAAGGCCCTGTCTAAAAAGCTGAAACATATCCTTTTTAGAGGTTCCTCCTCTGCAGGGCTCACATGGCGACAGCATCAGCAGCTCATGAGGCAGCAGGACAAAGTGCCTGGCACCTCCCCACTGCCAGGTCCTCAAGGCCAGCTTCATCTGAGCATCTGTTCGTCTCTTGCCACCTCCCTCCCCACCGCCAGTGCTTTTTCCATGAACACGTCCCACTCCGGGCTTCTTCTCACCCAGCCAGGCAGGGGCAGCAGGGATCTCCTGGGTGTCCAGGCCTTCACTCCACAAGAAAGCTGGTGTTCCTGAGAAAACCAGATCCCTCTCCTCAGATCAATCAGATTCTACATGCTCCTTTCCACAGCAACCATCGAAGAAGAGTAGCCATTGCCCTCCACTATCCCATGGCAGTGGGCCTCAACAAGGGCCTAAAGGTGACTAAGAATGTGAGCAAACCAAGGCACAGCTGTTGTCGCAGATGCCTCACCAAACACACCAAGTTCATGCGGGACATGATCTGGGAGCTGTGCGGCTTCGCCCCCTACGAGTGGCGCACCATGGAGCTGCTCAAGGTCTCCAAGGACAGGTGCACCCTCAAGTTCATCAAGGGTGGGGACGCACATCTCGAAGCATGAGGAGCTGAGCAACATGCTGGCTGCCATAAGGAAGGCAGCTGCTAAGGACTGAGTCCCACTGGAATAAAGCTTTGCAGAAAGTTAAAAAAAAAAGAAAAAAAAGATTCTGCATGCTCTAGGTCTTTGCATTCTAAGGGTTTGTCTTGGTAAGGACCAGGCTGGCTGTGTGTGCTGCCTGCAGACACTAGAGGGCAGAGCTGGCCCTAGGTGGTGCACCACTCTGCACACGCACACACGCACGCACACACCTAGCACATCACTTACCTTCTATCAGTCACGGAAACTGCAGTTTTAGGAATCTCCCTGCTACACACACACACACACACACACACACAGAGCCACACACCTTAGAACAGTCAAGGAACTTCAGTATCAGAAATCTCCCTGCTCCATACTTCTCCCTCAGAGACATAAAAATAAAACTAGGCTTGTCAGAAGAGATAGCTGCCTCTCAAAATCTCCTTCCATACTTCCTACTCAATATGACCTCGGTTCACGCCAGAGTTCAAGCCCAGCACCAGCAGGCAAGCATTCTGCCCCTACGCCACTCCACCCCTACCCAGCTCAACAGTCCTCTGTTCAGTGGAATACTCAGATAGTGGTGTGGGAAGAAAGTGAGTGGGCAAGCTGAGGCAGGAGGATCACAGTTCAAGCTTGACCTGGGTAACTCAGTGAAAAAGAAAAAAGGAGAATGGGGTCTGCCACTCAGTAGTAGCATTTGCTTTTGGCCAAGTCACTGGTCATGTGAGCCAGTTTTCTCAACTGCAGAGTGAGAATGCTTCCTCCTTCGTGGGCTTACTACCTCAAAGCCCTTGGCGATGGCAAGGGCCTCCCCATGTTGGCTGGCCCTGGGTCTGGCCTGTGCCACTGTGTCCAGCTAAATAATGCTTAAATTAAGAACAGTAAAAGACACATTGCCAAACTGGATGAGCTGGCCCATGCCTGTAATCCCAGCACTTGTGAGGCTGAGGCAGGAGAATTTCTGAGTTTGAGCCCAGCCTTCACTACATTGTGAGTTCAAGGTCAGCCTGAACTGCATAGTGAGAACCTGGCCTGAGTGTTTGCTTTCTGAGCTGAGCAGACCCTGGACAAAGCGCTCAGTGTCTGAGAAGCCTGTCTTCTCTCTGGGCCTGCCGGGCGAGCTGGGTCTTGGTGCAATCCTGTGCCAGGAAGGCATTTCACAACCTTCGGTTGGGGCGCAGCTCCGTGGTGGAGCATGTGCTTAGCATGTATGAGGCTCTGGGTTCAACTTCCAGCACCGCAAAAATAAAATAACTTTTTTGGTTGTTTTTGGTGGAACTGGGAACTGAACTCAGGCCCTGGTGCTTGCCAGGGAAGTGTTTATTCCACTGAGCCATCTCCCCAGCCCCAAAAGAAATAACTTTATCTTGGCTATTTCATCTAGTGCTCCCATTCCCAGGAGAGCGAGTCTCTCCATCAACTGGATATTCCTATATCCATCTATACTCCTGCCAACGGTACTCAAAAGGGTCCATTTCACCATATAACAAGGGCTACCAATCTTTAAATTTTTTGCCAATATAAAATATTATCCTCGGGGCCAGGAAGATGGCTCAGTGGAATAAGCGCTTCCCTGGCAAGCG